AAAGATGATCTTATATTAATTGTATTTAATTAAAAATAAATTTACCTACGTCAAGAGCGATGGATTTGTTTCGGGTTGGTACCAATATTGAGGTACATATCCGCCCATTTGTTGAGAGGCGTGGTGTGGTTGGGAGTGTAAGTGATGTGAAGGCGTTTGAGAAGCAATCTGTGGCTTGTGCTCAATCCAATGGGGCTTCTGATCCCACGGAGGTTGCGCAGGTGGACTTAAACCGGTTGGCGGGAATTCTGAAAGTACAAGTGTACAAAATTAAATATATTTATATTTGTAATCCCAAAAGTAGTTTACTTTTTTTATTTTGAAATTAATTTTTTTTCTAAGTTTTTAGTCAGTTTTTGAACATTTACGCTTGTGTACAAACGGCCTAGTCTATTATATAAAGGGTGAATCTGTGACGTGGTATAACCTCTCCAGAGCAGAAAGTTGGAACAATTTTTTAAGAATAAAATTAAATTCGGTGTATCGACTTGAATGGCTGTAACTTCCATAATTATTAACATTTTTAAAAAATACGCAATGCAAATCTGAAAAGTATCTCCTTATTTAAAAACAAACAGTGTGTCATTTGAACCTTTACTTAAAGAAATATTGAGAAAATAAGTCAAAAAGAAAAAAAAAATGCCAATTTACAAAGTTACCAATTACTAGAAAAATTTACTCCATTCAATTTTTTTTCAAAATCTGAAAGATTTTGAGTTGGTTTCAAATTACCTGTTAATATTTTTTGTTGTCCGATGCCCCGTTCCCGAGATTTGGTTTTAAACCGGACGGTTTCCAAGAAACAACGTTTTTCAAGTCATAGCTTTATTGCTCTTTTATATGTACAGAACTCTCTATTCGTAGGACTTATATGGAGCTAGCCATAGAAAGTATTTTGCCATAAGTAGCAACTGATGGGTAATTTTTTTTACTGTTTTTTAATTTTGCAAGATAATTCGGAAGAATATGGAGTAATATGATGAAAACTATAGACGATGAAATATATGCAAAATTACGGAATGCAAAGCTTCCGAAAAATAAATAATGACGTATCTTGTAGTATGTATGCATTAAATCAAATAAAATAAAAAATTACAATAAAATAGAAGCATTACAAAATACTATTCTAAAAATTTTATTATAAATTATATATAAAATTTTTTTGTAAAATAAGGAAAATCAAGAGAAACTTACCAGGAGAAAGTTCTGATACCGGTGTGCTAGATGGCGTTGGACTGTGTCCAGGAGGTAGAAAGTGTGATGGAGAGCCACTATTAGAACCACAATTGTTTCCTAAAAATATTTCATAATTGCTAACAATTTTATATAAATTACATATAAAATGTACAAATATTTAGTAAATAAAAAAAATCAACACTCTCTCATTGTTTTCGACAAAAGAAGAAATATGCACACGTAATACAAACAAATATTTATGCAAATTATAAAAATTCATTTCATTATTTTATGAAAAAAATTATCTAATTTATAGTAGAGATAAACTTACACGCAACTTTTTTATATTAAAAAAGTAATAATTTAAAAGGACATAGTAATAATAAAGAAAAGCTATGGGCAGTTATTTGTGAGACATTTGAAGAAACAAAACTGAAAATAAAAGTATAACAAATGCAAATCAATAACAATCAAACTAATAGTTACTAAATTCATTCACATGTATTAGGTGGTTTGCAGGAAAAAAGAAATAAATATGATCGGCTCTTTGGTCTGCACCCGATCCCTAAGAAATGGCATATCAAAAACTGACTTGGGTTGATAAGCACATATATTTAATGAAATGAACAGTAAGACGCATGTAAATGCGGTAGAGATTTCTATCAAAAAGCCGGCAAATACCACGAATATCTGCAAAACCTTGGCCCAATATTCAGCACGTTCAGAGGAGCAGGTTAAACGAACACCTGTCGAAATTAATTAGTTCTTTGACAGAACCTCTATGGTTACAAGATCTGTAAGCGAAAATAAACTTGAATTAATCTGCAAAACCTTGCGGTTTTGCTAATATAAGGTGCCAAATATTCACATTTTACAAATTTCGAGATACGATAACTTGAGAAGGGATGGAGGTGGGGAAAAATTTTTTTCTAGCGAAATGAACTATTTATTAATGTCTGAAAGCTGTTAGAATTGCAGACTTTTACAAGACTTTTGGAGTTTAGGAGAAAAACAACATCAAAAATTTGGAAACACGGATTTTAGGTAATGGTAAATTTTAACGGCCATTTGTTTTTTTAAAGTGTAGTATACCGCGATAAAAAAGCAACCCATTGCTTTGTGCGTTTGCAAAAATTAAAAAATGCATATAGTTACTAGTTAAGATCTATGTACATATAAAATTTTAGCTTTCTATTTTCAAGGGTGTAGAGATTTTGTAAACAGACACATGGACAGACGGAAGGAAGGACGGACGGACAGAGTGAAACTAATTAGCATTTTTTTTTCAAAAATTCTTTGGAAAAGTGGTAAAATTTAAAAACATTTCTAAAATTCAATATACCACTTTTATATAAATATATAATTTTATATAAATATATACATATATTTTTAAAAATATATATGTACATAAACAATACATAGGAACAAATTTTTCTAGCAAATTTTCTAATTCATTCTAATATAAAGCTTTAATTGTGTCGCTAATTAAATTAGTCGACTCATGAATTAGTATAGCTTTTGGTAAGACAATGGTTATTATTTTATTTTCCTTCTATAGAAACTATGTAGACTTAGTATTATCGAAGACACAACGGGCCAAAAAGGGAGACTGCGGATTTTTAGTGGTTCGGGATTTTTGAAATAATTCGAGAGATCTGGAGTAACAAAGAAATTTTGTAAATTAGTAAAATAAAATACATAATAATTGACAACATCGTGTTGAAATTTGAGACTCGTGTGAGTTGCAGTGTTGAAAAGAACTTGCTCCGAAAAAGAGAGATTGCTTTGTAGCGCTAATTGTTGATAATTGTTAATAAGAGCAGGTCTAATGACTTATGGTTTTTTATAAAATTTTGGGACTTCTTTTGATCCGGACTAACTACTTAGAACATACTTTTTATAATCACAACTACCAATTTCTAACTACTAATCTTCACCTTACTATAAATCTAATAACATTATTATTTACTTTATTTTATGTCGTGTATTCTTGCCTAAAAATATAGCACAAAAATTTTTTTGTAATTCAGTGTATTTTCATTTTTTACTCTCAATTCGTTCAGATACGTTGCCTGGCAAAAAAAAAAAAATAAAAAAAAACTCGAAAATATATTTAATCAAATTATAATTAAAATTTCAGACTGAAATTTGAAATTTTAATATGCTGCACAGAAAACTCCAAATTTCATTTCAATATAAAAATTGTTTGGTTTTAGTAAATTTTTTTCATAGAAAACTGAAAATGAAAATAGGGAAAAATTTTATTCGAAAAAAAAAAAATGATTCAGAAGTGACACTTTGGTATAGATAAATTCATACATTCACAAAACAAGAAGGGTCCAGATATTTTTGATATTTTTGTTATGTTTATCATATTTTTTTGGAAAGCTATATTAAATTTCAGATTTCTTAATTTAGAAAAAATTTAGAGAAATTGTACTATTTTATTTCTGAAGGTTTGAATAAAAAAAATAAGTTTAATTAATATTAAAGCTTTTTTAAATGCCAACTAATGCATTTATACCTAACAAGTTCCATGCCAATACTCAATTTTTTTACGAAGTATTCCGATTTGTTGTTCTTGTTCCTGTTTTTTTTTTAATTCCATTGTTCGTATCGTATTTCTCATAATTTTCAACGACCGCATTGTATACAATAAGGGAGATTATGTGATGGCAACAAATTTTGCATATCGAGTTTTCAGTGGGATCGCACTTCTCCCCGGTACGAAAGTGGGATATATCAGGCCTCGGGAGCTTAACCTTTTAGCAGGCCTGTTTTACATTTTTGATTATTTTGAAGAAAATATTCAACATGTTTAGTTGAAATTTCATATGTAAGCTTCATTCGGCCATACGGGAACAGTTCTAACTTTTAGAAGAAATCAGGAGTTAGCGACTGAACGTTTACTACTGGCCAAATATTTTTTCATCAAACGTTTTTGTGTATATAAAGAGACTAGTCGTGTGTGCTTGCATTGCAAGCCTTGCAAGTATTATGCTTGTTCTGAAATTGTGTTCCATTCTGTGTGTGATGTATTTTAAGTTTACTTTTTTCTTCTTCAAAAACACACCCGTAATATACATATAAATATGTTTTTTTCCTAATATTTTATAAGATAAAACTTAAAATAAGGAAAGCTCTTAAAACTAATTACGAAAAAGTATATAATTAAACAAATAATTAGTTCCTTTCAGATCTATTATCTTTTAGTAATTTATTTTAGAACCTCGCTTTGAGTTATGTCGCATAAAATCGTAAAATACCTTTGACAATAAGCAATTTAAGCGATAAATTACTGTATACGCATGAAATAACTTGCTACTTCATGCACGTATGTATTTGGAGTTTATAATACATGCGAATAAAACACGTGACTGAATCAGTTAACACCAATACTAACGTATTTAGGGCAATACGTAGAGCATACGATTTCTATGCAAAAAGTCCCAGGTTCGAAGCCCTGAAAAATGCGATTTGCCAGATAAACTTTTTTTTATTGATAATTTTATTTTTTTTTAAATGAAATTAAAAAAGCTTCACCCTAACAAATCAATATCATCGAGTTTCCGTTCCAAATATTTTTTTGTAAATACCCTACTTTTAAAAAGTTTAATGCAATAGAATAACATTTTCTTATAAAATTTTACCCTAAAAATATATTGTCAAGGAGTTTAATGTAAACTTATGTTTTGCTTTCTAATACATTTTGCAACAGATCCCGAAAAGAATGCACAACTAAATGCATATGTACACACTTATTATAAAACAATGTACATTTTATTAAAACATTACAATTTTCTTAAGAAAGTGATCACTTTTTGTTATAACTCACACTTCCAAATATGAATTTATGTACAATATTTATACCACTAAAATTAAATAAAATATTACCCCTACAGGATGTAGTACCATTTTGTAAAAAACGGTTACATCTTGGGAGGGGGTGAAGGGGGAGGGCGGATGAAATTCTTGCAAAACCCTATCTAATGCCTTTTGTCCCATGTCTCTAGCCCTTCTAGAAGTACCCGTACTTTTTACCACCTGAGAAGTAGCTATATATATATATAATGTAAAATAGGATGGTTTTTAAAGAGTTATACGAAATATGAATAAAATATAGAATTATAAAGGGAAATTCAAGGTACTGCGTAGCCTAGTGGTTAGCGTGGTAGTCTCATAGCCAGGAGGTTATTGGATCAATGCTTGCCTGGATTTTTCTTTTTTTGGATTACTTTAAAAAATTATTTCTTATTTTGTTTAAATTTTGTGTTTTATTTTTTTTTTAATATATAACAGATAAATGTTATTATAAAAGTTTAAAGAAAATTTCCAAAAAAATATTCTTATAATAATTTGGAAAAATTCGCAAAAATTTTAAGTACAAAAATATGTATGTATGTATATTTTTTTTTTTAAAGCTTCCTAAGTAATTTTTTTTAAGCTTTCTATATGAATTTAATAATATTCAAAACTATAGAATATATAGAAATAAATTTTAAACGCATAATTATTATATCATGGGGGTAAACATACAAAAATAAATTTTTCAAATAAAGAAAAGGTTTAGTCAAAAACAAAATAATAATTTTATTCAAATATATGTATGTATGTGTATATGAATGTTTTAGAATTGAAGATTTTATAATTTTTCTTTCCAACAAATGAAGGTATGTACATATTAATGTATTAGAATCGAAAATTTTGAAATTTTGCTTTTGGAACAATTAGAAATAAAATTATTAATACAAACATACATAATTATGAATGGATACGTGTTTTTTTAAAACTGTGGGTAAACATATAGGATTTAATTTTCCAAATAAAGAAAAGGTTTAGTCAAAAACAAAATACTAATTTTATTCAAATATATGTATGTATGTATATATGAATATATGTATGTATATATGAATGGATTAGAATTTAGCATTTTACAGTTTTTCGCTCGAACAATAACAATAAAATTTTAGGTAGATACATACGTACATAAATAGTGTGCATATGTATATTTTTTTAAAGCTTGTTGACGAAACATAATATACAAAACAATAACAAATGTCTTTTATAAAATCTGACATTTATTTAAGTTTATTTCGATTTTTCGAACTTAAAATATATGTGAGATCATTATATTTTCGAATATTATTTATTTCTCGTTCTCGGTTTGTGTTTCTAATAATAAAAAGCATTATTTTATTTGTTGGTTTGCGTTTCTAGTAATATAAAGTATAAAAGAAAAACGTGCTTTTGTTATACAAAAATTTTTTCAGAAAATCTTAAAATAAGGCTATTTCGAGGCTAAAAAGTTTCAATGTCAGATTTTTCTGGGACCCTGGAGGCAAAATCCTATCTAATGCCTTTTGTCCCATGTCTCTAGCCCTTCTACAAGTAGCCGTACTTTTTGCCACCTGAGAAGTAGATATATGTATATAATATATTCTACCGTTTTCATTGAAATTTAATACTTAAATTCGAGGTGTCAAAACAATGAAACTCTATTCAGAGTCAAGTTCAAATTTTTCTCATTATGTAAACTAAAAGCTTATTGGTGCCTTAAAAATTGTAAAGAGGTGTTTAAAACGTATTTTCATAATCATGTAGAATACTTTTACTAATCTAGACAATATACATTGTGGTCGTTTACGTGGAGACCACATCAGGTTTTGTTTTTTTTTTAAGTAAAAGTTAACAGTTTAATTTTTCAAAAAAGCTAGCGATATTATACACATTTTTTAACAAGCCTCCCATTTAAATTCTGTTCAACGGAAGAGTGAGGAAGTTAGGAAGAAGGAGAAAATGTAAAAATTTTTCAAATTCATATTTCAGTATGGTTTCAAATATTAATAAAGAGGGATATACATACATACATATGTATGATTTTTTCACGTACATTTTGTATTTTTCAATAAGGTAGGTGGATTAATGTCAGCTAATCAAAATGATAACGAAAGTAATATAATGTCTTTAACAATTTGAGTTATCTCATTTCTGTTGTTTGAAAGATAATTAAAGAATCGCTTCAAATATTTTCATTTATGATATATTAAGCGTTTCCAAAATTTATTTGTGCTCTTTTTTCATACTTTATTACCAGGTAAACAAAAGAAATATCTTTATAAAATGTTCTCGCCTGTGCATGTATGTCCTATCTTTGAACTAAACATAAACGGACATAAAATCGCATAACTACCTGTCATTTTACAATCGGAATTTTTGAGTCATTAACTAAGAACTCCTTTTAAATATTTCTTTCACTTCTTTCTGAAATTTTTCTCAAATAAAAATAGAGGTAAAATTTTGAAGTGTACATAAAATTTGTATTAGTAATGAAATGCTTTCATTATTTTTAAGAGAAGAGCTTGTGAAATGTCTTTATTTTTTTAATTGAATAGCTTAATTAACAAAAACGTTGAAGGTTAAAGTTATGCTTGTAGTTTTTCCGCTTTTCTGCATGTATTTTAAGAATTTTAAATTATTGTGAAAGAAAATATTATTAAATTTAATTGGTTTTTTAAATATATTTTTAGAATTTTACCTGCTTTATAATATGTATGAATTTATTTTGTTATTTCGTCTAAAATAATGTTCACTTCGATTTAAAAAAACCAAAATAAAAATAAGGTCGTGGTTTCAAATTTCTGTCTTAGCATTGGCATTTGTTATATACCGATTTCATTTGCATTTCCAATGTAATGGTAATTGAGAAATTCGTCTTATTGCAGCATTTTTGAGAATTTATGAACTGAGAAAAAAAATTATCTAAATTAGATATTAAGATGAAATTTTTCTTGGACTTAGACGATAACCACTCTTTACAGCTAACTTTCACACAAGTGTATTTCCCACTTTTTGATCTTGAATATATTTCAGAACAATTTCATAAATATATTGTTTTCAAATTAGTTAAACTTCTGAGTCATAATTAAAATAAATTAATCTAGTTAGAATAAACAAAATTTCAAAATGGGAATAGGTTATAATTATGGATTTAAAATATACCAAAACCAAAAGTTTGAAGCAAACTGCTACGAAATTATTTAATTTAATTCTTATAAAGGTTAACATCTCCTGTAATGTACATTATGTATTTAATACATAAATATAGTGCAAGAAAAATTCTAAGGAAATAATATTACTAATATTACTGTTAAAATAAAACTGTAATGAAAAAAAACTAAAAATTTGTAGCAATTGTTTTAACTCTCACCAGAATTTAAGTTTTGGTTTGGACTTTGAGAAGTTGCGTTTTGAACGGCTAACGACATACCACTTGCGCCGGGAGCTTGTGCTGCCTTCATCATTTTTTTGTACTTCGATCTACGATTTTGGAACCATATTTTAACCTAAAAAAAGAGAATTAGTTTTTATTGTGATTCAAGAAATCTTTATTTCAAGGTAAAAAAAAAGTGTAATTTTTACTGTTACAACTTGCAACATAATTTACATTGAAATGGAAAAGGAGCATTTCGCGATTTCGCTTGCTTTAACAGGTTTGTATACTTTGTGCATTGGTCGACCTCCGATTAGTGTTTTAAAACTATCAAAATATTGAAAATAAATTGTGAAGTTAAAGTTTATAATTTTTATAGTAAATTCGGTATTCAAACAAGTTTTTTCGCTTGTACATTCCAAAAAAGGAATATTAAGAATATAATGAAACTCAATACCAGCTTCAATTCACGTCTTTACGAAATATTTGGAATAAAAAAAAGAACATAGAAATAAAAAGAAAAAAATTTCAAGTTATGGAAAACAAAGCTATAAAATTCATAAAGTTCAAAACGGTATTTCCCCATTCTTGCTCATTTGTCAAAATTTATTAATACTTTACAAGAATTGATGTTTATTTGACGATAATATTACATCGACTTTAAAACCATCGATAGTTCCGATAATTAAAAACTATCGATAGTTTGTGGAGCTTTCCACCTCTACTTTCGATTGTTTATCCGTTTTTGTCTCTCCGATAGTTTATTTGTCAGTCTGTTTCAGTGGGCATTCAAAAACAATTTAAGCAGGGCTTACCCGATTTTCACAAATTACACATATTTATTACTGTATGAATTCTACTTAATTTGTATTCAACTGAAGCACCGGTCAGAGTAGTTACCATACGACGTCCAAAGCTTATTTTTATCTTAGAGACTGCATGTTTATAGTTTTCAAATTTTGGTATTAGAGTTCTTTCAAATTATTGTAGTAGCTGCCTACAAGAAATAGCGACTACAAGAATTGTGTTTTTTTTTTTTTTTTTTTTTTATTGGTGTGAAAAAGTTATATTTCGGAAAAATTATCAACCATTGAAAAAAAAATTTTTGAATTGTGTTTTCTTATAACTTCAGTAGATTTTTTTTTTCTGGTTGGTTTAGACCATGGATGTCAAGACTTTTGAAGCTATGGGCCAATTTCCAATATTCTGTATGACAAAAGGGCCACAAAATAAAACAATTAATTCAATTTTTAAGGTGTATAAACGTTTATTTATTTTTTATTAGAAGTACTGGGAGCTGAGTGACACTGCTTCTGTTGAACAAGTCTGTTTTACTCTGAATAGGCTTTGCATAAAACGTTAAATACCATTTAAAATAGTGAATAACATAACCTAAAAATTTCGATAGCCATCTATTGCAAAAAAAAATGGAACTTAGTCCCTTTCCACACAAATTTTAATAGTGATAAATTTTTCTTTTGGTCAAATAATTTTTCATACTACAGCCACCAAATATTTTTTTGGCCAACAAAATCAAAACAGTTTAAACCATAATAATATTTTAACAATTCGTTTTAGAGGGCCGCACCAAAATAAGAAAATGGCCGCATGCGGCCCACGGGCCGCACTTTTGACATCCATGGTTTAGACCTTGTACCACCGTAATTTATTGGATCCTGATGATGTGCCGCCTGCGACTAAGAGTAAATATAGTTCGAATGCTTCTCGATCACGTTGACGTTATATTCACTGATCCTAAATAGGCTTTAATAGGATTCATTATCGAATAATTTTATCTTAATTGTGGAAAATCGGCTTTGCTATCGATTATAGACAATTTAAAGTGTCCTTCGTTCGTCGTTATATTCACCAAAAAAGGATCGAATTGATGATGGAAAATCTTTTCTTTTTTTAAGATTTTCTTGTAGTCAGTTAAAAAAAGAAATTCATTTACTGCTCGGATTACACCGTCCAAAATAGAAGTATTGTAAATGTTTTTGTTTAACAAAATGCATTAAATAAATTTTTTGTATTCACTTAACCTCCAACTTATAGAAAGTTGTGGTACTCTCAAGAATTCGTGAAAATGGAATTGTCTAACCACTTTGTCCAGGTGGCCTACCATGTAAACTGATTTGCGATTCGCAAGTGGTTTCGTACTGTGTGACGAAATCGTATCGCAAACAATTTAAACTGGCAGCACTTTCTAAAATTTTTCTTTGTGAAACTTCTGACAGTTTTTTGTAATTAATAATTATAATTATAGGTCAAAATAAAATACAAATGTATTCCAGTTTACGATAATAGTAAAATTCAAATTTGCATATGTCAAATTTGTTTCGCTTCTCTTTTGTCGACATTACCCCTTTACATTTTATGGGATTTAATTTTTACCGACCGTATTGTGTATACGGTATTGTGTATAAGAGAAATATTTTCTATTGAACTTATGATTACCACTCATGATATGATTTTTACATATATGAATTATTTCCTTTTTATTCTTTTGTACAGTTTTATTAATTTTTCACACTTTATTAGAATATTATCAGCAGAAATGCATCCACAACTTTCAGGTAATGGGTCCACAATATCTGAAGAATATGGACAGATATCCCAATGAAAGCCGTAATCCTTTGTTTCCATTTGTTTTGAATTTTTGAATTGTAACAAAAATTTATAATGTTTTTTACCGACCGTATTGTGTAAACAATACGTAGGTAATGTGATGGCAACAAATTTTGCATATCGAGTTTTCGGTTGGAATGCACTTCTCTATAGTAGGGAAGTGTAAATAAACTAGTTTTAACAACCTGTCGGTCTGTCGGTCTGTGTGTGCACGCGTGTATCTCAAGTTTGGCTAAACCGGTTTTGATGAAATTTTATATGTAAGTTTATTTCCACTATGGCACGGGTTGATCAACTTTTGGTATATTCAACCGATTTACTTGAAATTTTATATATAAGCTCAGCTCGACCGTCCGCGAAAATTCTTATGTTTTGAGCAAAGATCAGGGCTCGAAAACTGATCTGCGGGCCGATTTTACATTTTTCACCATTTTGAAGAAAATATTCAACCGATTTACTTGAAATTACATATTTGAGCTTTGCTCGACCGTCCGCGAAAGTTCCTACCATTTGGAACAAATCAGGCATCAGCAACTGGACATTTATTACGGGCCAAACATACACTTTTGTATATATAAAGAGAAATAATCAACCGATTTCATTGAAATTTAATATTTGAATTCCTCGTATTAAAACAATGAACATGTAAATTTTTTGGAAAGATCAGGGCTCGAAAACTGATCTGCGGGCCGATCTGCTGAACGAATTGATGGAATTTCTTGAAATTTGATATTTGAGTTATGGTTGTTACCGAATATTCCATGGAATTCGAGTAGCACAAACCAAAACTCTACTAAGAGCCAAATTTACATTTTTCTAGGTATGTTAACTATAAGCTTACTAATGTCCTAAAAATTGGAAAGAAGTATTTAACAGACATTGTTATAATATTCTGTAACACTTTCATTTAACTAGACAATATACAATGCGGTCGGTTATGTGCTGACCACATCAGATTTTTTTTTGTTATTTCCCGAATTTCCTTGGTAGAAATTTTCCCTTGGGCTAATGCAGTGAACATATTCATAGTAGTAGTATATCTCTTCAGTTTTATTTAAAATATTTAAGTATACTTAAATCGGAATTTTATGGCTTTTTGAATATGCGTTTTATTACTGCTTTCCATTTTGATATTTTTAGGGAATTGACTAAAGACTACTCAGCACATCAGAGTACAATTTATTAGTTTAACAAATGGTACTACTTTTGGTTTAGATGTTTTATAATTCTGAATTTATATACTGTTGCTAGATAAATCAACCACTTGTTGATATTATAAAAGATATATATATTGTTGCTTTATAATTCTGAAGATAAAACAGAAACAACAATCAATTTAATGAAGACACATCAAAACAATTCTTTAATTTTCAATTAAAGAATGTTAGAAATAATCAATTCTTTAAAATATGATTTGCAATCTAAGGCAGTGAACACATTCTAGTATTTAGGGTATATCCCCTCATCATTTCTTAAAATATTTAAATATACTTAAATCGAAATTTTATTGTTTTTTTGAATATGTACTTTATTATTGCGGTCCATTTTGTTTTTCGAAAACTTATTTATTTTCGTTATATTTTCGTTATAGTTATCACCTATATTGTATTTGTATTATATTTTCAATCAATAAATTTTGATATTCAATATATTAAATAATTTTAATTCTAAAAAGAAATAATATAATAAAATAAATAAGTAGAAATAGAGTTGACCATGTCAACATGTACGAATTTGTTATGCTATGTGGGAGTAAATATAGCAATTCTTGAGAAAGAAAGTACTATACTTGAGACCGTCTAGTGATAATGACAACACATATTCAGCAACGTACTGACAACTTATAAAAATAATATGTAACGAAGAGATAACAGAAATAGCTAAAATGAGAACACTCGACACCGAATATAGGTGTTATTGGAAACAAATCTAAGAGTATCTCAGAAAGAGAGATTTCACCACTTTGGACTTTGCAAAAGATTTCCAATAACTTTAAATTAGTATTGAGAATTGACAGAAAACAGTTTTTCAAACACCATTAAACTTTTATAAATTCGTAAAAACTTCCATTTGAAGACTTGTGAATTTGGTACTTAATAGAATACATTATTAAAATATGCATAGTACATTTGGATGATATCTTAATTTTTAGTACCACATTTAAAGAACACGTAGAAACATTAGAAAAATATTAAATAGGCTTAGACAGAAGGCGTTTAAAGTACAAATAGATAAATGCAATTTTTTGCGAAAAGAAACGAAATTTTTAGGGTACATTTTAATTTCATTTAAACCAAACCATAATAAAATTAAAGTTATAGAAGAACCTAAATTGTCAATTACGCAAAACCAAATGAAGTCATTCTTAGACATTACAGGGTACTATAGGAAATTCATATGAGTGCGACAGCAGCACATTCAATAACAAAATATTTGAAAAAAAAAATCTAAATTGTAAAACGCATTTGAGAAACTTAAAAATCTATTTACGAGTCATTTTTAAAT